TGCCGTGGAACTGGTCCTTTGTTTCCCAGATGGGATAGAGGGAGAAAGGCACGAAGCAGAGGACGCACAAATTGTCAACTGAAAGGCAAAACTCGCCAAAAAAGCTAAATGTCACAAGAGGAAGCAATCTTGACTCTCGATCTCATCTCGATCTGCACGACGTGCTTTTTATCTCCCGCCAGTTACAAAACAATGCGAGTTTTTGCATTTTTTGCAGAATTTCCATAACGAACGTCGGCCCGTTATTTTGAGCTCTGTAACGTTTTTCCGTTATCCGATAACGTCTTTTGTCACGGCTGGGAGTGAGTACCGTAAAAGTTAGCGTTAACGTACTTTTGCTAAGGATGTCTAGTGTCCAACTCTTGCGATCTGCCCCGGCGCCGATCCCGTACGATTTTGACCAAAAGTGGTTCGTGAACCGTTCGCGCCGGTGATCGCCGGCTGCCGGGAGCCAGACTTTGTCGAAATATCAAACCAATACTTGTCCTAAATTTTCCTAAATTGAAGCGAGAGAGGAGGTCCGTTCGCCATTCTTGTGGTCGCTTCAAGGCGGCAAATAAGTCAGGATACCAGCCCGTCCTTCTCGAATGATCTGCTTGACCATTGTGCAACTTATGAGACAAATACAATTGAAACAAATATGATTATACAGGTAGACTCCCTCTAATTCGAATACGGTATAATTTTTTTTCCAAAACGATGGCGCACAACAACTGCCAAGCCTCTTATACGGGCAAAATAAACACAATTACGAGTGCAACCTCAACAGCACCGGAAGAAAAACGAGCCAAAAATGGCTGTGAAGACAGTCGAGAGAGCAAAAAATTAATGGCTGTGAAAACAGTCGAGAGAGCAAAAAAAGGCTGAGAGCAAAAATGGCTGTGAAAACAGTCTAGTACGGAGCCTCGGGAGGGAGCTTTAACCGATGCTGCTCATGGCAACCGCAAATCGGGCCGAGTCATTTGCATCTGAGGGCACGCGGTGCCGATGGCCTCGCAGACTGGCAACAGCGGCACGGATGAGGACAAAGCTGAGCTTACATCGGATGTAGGAGATTGTGGCAGCGTACGGCTCCTGCTTCTTGTCGGCGAGCATCGATGCCAGCCGAGCATAGAGTGCTGTCGCAGCTTTGCCATACCCTCCAGTGCAGGACAAGACAACTGGTGAGAAGGAGGCGTGCTCGACGTTGGTGATCCGTTCCTCGTAGCGGCGACGCTTCTCCTGCTCATGTCGCTGAATACGGTATAATTCGAACATTCCGTGTAATTCGAACTTTTTCGTCGTACCGATCTTCTGCAAGTCACTTCAAGTCAAAATCGAATGCATAATTCGAAGTACGAAAAGTGCGCCGGTTGGATAATTCGAACCCAGTCTTCGTACAGAAGAGCTGTTTACAGTACATTTGCTATGTCCTTTGAACGCTTATTTCGAAGTGAGATTGAGTTGCTATCCTTGTAATTCGAAGTTCATTCTTTTCTCCTTCTCTAGCCAAGAGTAGCTAAAAAATCGATCAATGGTCCGCTGCAGGATCGACTATAGCGTTCAAGAAACCCACCTTCTGTCGAAATTTGATTCAAGCGCGTATCTACCCCGTGCGAGGCAAATTGCAAAGGTTTGATTCTTCCAGGTGGCTGACTCTCTTCGCGGATCTCGATGGCCTTTCTTGCCGCGCCAGCTCGTGCGCGGAGATGTTGGCGCACAACAACACCATTGTCGTAAATATTGTCTATGCCTATGCTCCACTTCCGTTCTTCTGACGACGTGCTGCTGTCCGACGGCCTTTCATGACGCGGATTAGGCAGCGCAGTTCTTTTCCGTTGAAATCGTTTCAGGAAAGCTGCAGTGACTGACAACTTCTTCACTAGAAGATGAAGATAATGTCAAAATGATTTTGTGTCGATCCAGGTTTAGATGATCCGTTGTACATGACCGGTACGCGGTACGAACACCTATGTTTCGTTCATGCAAATAAAAATGTGCAAAAAAATATTCAGCACGCGATTTCAAGCATTTTGACATACATATCAGTGCATGGGGCTGCATTTGGATAATTAGAAGTTCCGGATAATTCGAACTTAGGGCCTGGCAATTTGAGGTTCGAATTAAAGGGAGTCTACCTGTAATGGATACATTGGCAAGTTCTTGTGACTTCATCAACGTTTGCAAGCATAATTTCAACACAATCGCTTAGGCCTCGGTCACACTACGGCAAAAATGCTGCGTCAGCGTCAGAATCATGAGCTTTTCCATGGCAACTGACGCAACGCGGGAAGTTTGAGCGTCAGACGCTGCTGCGTCTGTGGGAAATCGGCTGCGTTGCCGCTGATGGGAGTGACGCTTGGCGGAAAAACAGTGTCTTTCAAGTAAAATTAGTTTCAAGACACTTTGCTTGAGTTGAGCAGTTATTCGACATTCGTCTGTTCAAGGTTTGTTTTGTTCCCTCTTTTTGTTCGAGATAAGTCCGTGGACCTACGAGGCCGAGGCTGCTCTGCTCCGAACCTGGCGGAAGAGCGAGGCGTTTTCTGAGAAGAAAATGATGTCGAGAAAGGACCAGTTGTTTGAGTGGGTCATCGGCCAACTGGAGCCTGTTGACTTGTGAGTGTTGTGTTGTCGTCAAGAGCCCCAAAAAGGACAACCAGTATGATGAAGTCAGGAGAAACACAGCTGCGATGCGGACTTTTCTTGCCTGATCAATGACACTACAACTGAAAATGGCTTCAAATTCGGAAAGAAACAACAACGATCGTGCACGCGTGGATCTAGTACCTTTCGTCTTCTTGTAATCAAAAATCAATGAAAAATTCGAAAACTTTGTCCGACAATATTTTTGTATAATAAGCAAAAGGCCGGTTTCCGTGGGAATCCGTGTCGTCATTGAGTTTTCCTGGTGGTTTTGTGACGTAGACAAATGCGTCAAGCCGCGGCAGTCATGATCTGCAAAAAAAAAAAAACACTGTGTGACCCCGCGTCTCCGTCAAGGGCTGCGGCTTGACGCTGCGTCCAGCTTCAAACTGCCGTAGTGTGACCGAGGCCTAACTAGACTGCAGTAAAATGTGTAGAAGTATTTTCATGATCTCCAGTAAAAGGTAGCACCGAGTGGCCATCACCGAAAGACCTTGAACTACTGAAGAAACAAAGAATTCAAGCTTCAATTGGC